TGTTGCCTCACGCGGTGCCTCTCGTAGTTGGCGCTGGGCAGGATGGCTGCATCGCGCCTCGGTGCTCGCAATTCTGCCCTGCTAACATGAATAGGTTAAATCATGATCCATAGTACATATACTAGCTCTGCCCACAGCAGTGACGCGACGCTCCTCCGCTCAGCCTGCCCAGAGGACCCGACCACGGAAGGTAAAGTAGAAAAAAAAACACACAAAAAAAGTGCAAGCTTCAGCGCTATGCACCGGGGCATTTTGACAAGTACAAGTACTTGTCAAAATGCCCTATATCAGGCCCGATTCCGATGCTAGCATCGGTATCGGGACATCCCTAGTTTTAGCCCCTCACCGCTCTATCTAAATCTAAAAAGAAAAAATACTTGTTTTGCTTTGTGAATGGCACATGGAATTGTACCCCATTGACACCCATCATACCATAATAATAAACCTAAATAATAAAGTAAAACACAACAATGATTGTGGAAAAACTATAGGCCACGGCCCCGTTATTGGGTTTTAATCAATTTAACCAACAAATAGATTTTAACCTTTATTGTGTACTAGGTCTTAATTTCGGGGTAGGTCTTATTTTCGGGGAAACAGGGTAGATAGGAAAGGTTACACTCATTGGTCAACTGTTTCCCGCCAAAAGCCTGTCACCAATCCTGTGCTCAGCTGACTGAAGGTCTGTCCAGCAACAGTGGTAAATCTCCCTAGCAATGGCAGGCAGCTTGTAACCTGAAAGACATAGCAGAAAGAATCAGCAAAGCAGTCCCAGAGAGATATGTACATGACAGTGATCACAGACCTCTATTTGAATATAATTAGTTTTTAAAAAACACATAGGCGATAGGGGCCACAATCCCATGGGGCCACTTTTCTTATTTTGCTTTCGTGGCCCTAACAAGAAAGTTAAAGGGATGGAGGGACAACATGAGAACTGGTGTGGATCATAGACCACGTTCCGATGCAGTGGGGAGCTGGAAGTGGGGCTTCCTGCTGTACATATCAGAATTGCTCAGCAAAGTTTAGAGAGCCCCTGAAGTAGTAAAACATGACAGTGTCCATGTGTGAATTAAAGAATAATAAATATTAAAAAACAGCTGTGTCTGGAGTCGGGGGTTTCAATAAAAAATATGTTAATGTGAAACCTTTTATCTAACATTCTCAAACAGACTTTTAAGTGGAAGGGTCTGTCTGCTATGATCACTCAGCTAGTTCCAATGTTGTAAAAAATCCTGTATCTCAGCATCCCTCCACATAAGAAAAGCCATCGGCATGTTTATGACCAAAGCTAAAAGACTCACTAAGTAAACGACTGTGCTGGGGAAGTTCGAAATGTTACCACTGGGAAAAGAAGTGAGCCAACTACACTTTCAGTAAATGAGATTTCATTGACGTTCTGTACACAGACTATGCAATGCCCCAGTGCTGCTATGGTTGCAAGGAGTGACTTTTGAGGGTTTTTGGCAGTGTTGGAAAAACCTGGCCGCAAGTTGAAATGGAAAGATCATTAATAAAAATCATTACATGAAACAATGCCTTGTACAGCAATTATATGTTATGCATTCTTTTTTTTTTTAGCACAAATAGAGTTCTGTTAAGATATGTGTACCTCTGCACACATCTATTTCTTGATAGCATTTGATAAAAACAAAACAAAAATACAATTGACCTAAAGCCATTATAGTTTCACTTTAAGGGAAAAAAATACATTCTATTTGCATAAGTATATAGTTCCCATTTTTTTTTGGCTGGAATGTAGGAATGGTTATAACCTCAATGCAGACATAGACAACAATAAAAACCTGAAAGAGGTTTTAACCCTTCCCCAGTCTACTAGATATTTTTTATTGTTGTCTGTTTTCCATTGAGGAGATTTATCTTCAGTTCCTGTTCTGTGCCACCCATCACCTAGACAGGAAGTGAATAAAACCTGAAAGAGGTTCAAGCCCTTCCCAAATCTTCTAGATTTTTTTCTATTGTTGTTTGTGCCCCCATTGGAGGAATATCCACCCCCTTCCAGTTTAAACTGACACCTGCCATATAGACAGAAAAATAGGAGAAATTGCCCAATGGGGACAAAGACAGAATTAAAGCTGGCCAAATCAGGGTAAGTTCGGCTTTAAAGCCAACTACAGCCAAAACCTTTTTTTAAGATAGAGTTAGGGAGGGGTAAAATTGGAACTGCGGATGGCCCTGTCAGCACTACCCAGCTTGACAAAAGTTGATTGTTTTGATTGACTTTTGTTGAAAGAGCAATGTGAAAGATTGTCGGCTAAACAGTTACTGCATTCAATGAGATGTGGTTACTATTCAGGTATTTAGCTGCCACGGGTCTCGACAGCTACTGAATACTGGCTGAATAGCTGGCAGGGGAGATTCCTTCATCCACGCTGTTTAGCAATGGGGTGAACACGAAAAAATCTTTAGGGGAATGGCCAGCTTAAAAGGAGAACTATGAGGTGTGTGAAAATCACTCATCCTCAAAGTTCGAGCCGACGAGTGACCATGAAACTGTCACGCATCGGCTCAATAGATCGGGAAAATGAGCGAACACATACAGTCGCTCGCTCACTTCTCGATCATCTCCCTACAGAGAAAAGTGACTGTCAGTCACGGGTCTCTGCAGGGATTCCAATAAATACTAGCCCTGTCAAACTCCTTAGCGATATGTCCCTTGTAGTGGGGGGTGCTCGCAGTGATTGCAGATGGCGCCGCAAATGTCAGCAGAATTGTAGAAATGTCACCAGCACACCAGTCCTTTTACGATAGCATAAGCTTCATTTATGGAAGTTTTTTGTCATATGACCATATGTCATATGACCAAATTGGGTAAATCTCGACGGGATCCGTCCCGGCTGCGGCGGTCTCAGTATACCACGAGTTATAGCTCATGCTATACTGAGCTTTGGGTCACGGGAGGAGGTTAGTATATGTCCTCCCTTGACCCTTAAGAGAACTATGGGGAAAAACACTTAACTCATAGTTCTCTTTTAAGTCTTTAAGAGAGAAATCTCAGCTTCTATCTTTAATTTTCAAAGCTGAAACTGAAGATAGAGGTTGATTGCTTACTCTGGGCAACTACTGCAGATTTTGTGTGCTCCAATTTTGATAAATTCCCCTCTACGTCTCTTCTTTGCATATAAAGTATGTCCCATGCTGCCTCAAATACAACATTCTAGCAGTAATAATGAGGCGGAAGCTGGCATTGACCCAATACTTTCTGAGCCTTTCACATTGTGTTTAGCATTATTGTGTTGATGAAAGAGCAGCTATCTATTCAATTTTGCTTACTTATGTGACACACAGTTGTCTGTAAACTTTGGTCATATAACTTTTTGTTGGTCTTTTTTTATCTCCAGTGTTTCCTGCTTTACAATTGAGGGACCATCTTAGTTTGGTAAACCCACATTTCACATAGTCCTTTTTAAGTAATTCAGTTTTTTGTCCCTCACTCTTACAAGTTAGTGTTATGCAGAGTTCTTGATATGACTGACTGTGCACCTCTAGTCTGAGTTACTGTACCCTACAGCTGCTTCAAAGTGATGGTTGGTTTCTTTGTGGCTTCTGTCACAAGCCTTGATCTTGTCCACATAGAAAGTTTTGGGGGATGACTTGTTGTAGGAAGCCTCTGAATGGTTTGATTTAACATCTACTTCCTGAAGATAAAACCTACTCACTGGGACATCCAAACACTAAGATATTGTGCTATACCCTTTTCATTATTTATACAATTGAATTAGCTTATCTCTAACTTCTTTGGGAATTAAGTCTTCGTTTTCACAGCTGTCCTTTAGAATTCAAACCAGAATAATACTTCCCTAACTGTGGTGATTTACCCAGAAATTGTGCCATTAATTTGGATGATTTACTGGTGGAGACCAATTATAGGACAGTTAAATCCTTGTTAGGCAATTGTTTTTCACCTGTGTAAACAGAGCTTCGAGAACACAGGGATTACAACCTTGCATAAACTGTATATTCCATTACTTGTTTTTCTTAAGAATTTCTTCCAACTAAAAATCTAACATAAATAGAACTTTGATTTTCAGTACTTCAAAATTAAAATGTAACGGAAATGCATTTTCATTGGAAAATGTGTTATCTGCTACGTGGAAAGTACCGGTCAAAGGTCTGCTGAGTGTCTTAGATTGCCACCTTTGAGCTAGTATAAATTTAGTAAAGTGTTTACGTATCTAAATCCAGAAACAAACATTGAATGCATTACAGGATATCAGTCCTTAGATGAGGTGCCTGCATTATTTTTATGAGTCTTTTTTCCTTTATTTTCACCTGGTAATGCTGCAAATAACACACTTCCTGTACATATACAGATCTGTGGAGAGAGCCATTGTTGCCACCTGTAACAAAGAATGAAATGCCTTGTTATGCCATCCAACATCCAGTACTGACAGTTGAATTCTTTTGATTATGTGTCTGTTGCTTTAACACTACACACAAACTAACGGTCATAGGCCATACATGAAGCCCATCTACAGGCAAACTAAGAACTACCCTTGCAGTTGGATTACCCCCACACTGCAAGGGATACATGCTCATTGAAAATGTATTTAAGTACCTTAACCAATAACAAGAATTTAATTATTATTTGTGCATCACTCAGCTCTAGATCCTCAAATCATCTCTGAATTGGTGCTGACACTGTACTTCCTTCTGGAGGGTGACTAATTTTGTTCCTCATGATCCCTGTTTGTGTTGTAAAGTAGCCACCACTCCAAGCTTGCTCCTGTGATAGACTATAATCTCAGTACAAAATGAGTAAACTAAACACGAGTTGGTAATTAGTATCATTGCGATCCATGTGAAGTCTATTTAATATCTGTGTTATACTTACACATGCATGAACCTAATAACAAAAATATATCTGATGCTATTTGGAGAGGCAGGACTGAGCTGATACTTCACCATAAATTGCCTTCAGTTTCTTTGACACCTTTTATAATCCACCATAAACCTTAATATTTCTTTATATTCTGCAGACAGTACACAATTCGCTATCGAGAAAAGGGAGAGTCTGCACGTTGGGATTACAAGGAAATAAATACTCGACGTGTGCTGGTAGACAAACTAAATCCCGATGCTATGTATGAATTTTCCGTCCGTATTTCTCAAGGAGGTGAAGATGGCCAATGGAGCGCTTCAATTTTCCAAAGAACTCCAGAATCTGGTGAGTGTTAATAAAATTAAGAAAATACCCAACCATCACCTATAACAAGTTTAAAGCATTGTACAATTATATGTTATTTTTGAAGGAAGTTCCTTCCTTTAGCTGTGTTTGTTTTTATAGGATTATATGTATACACTGTGCACTTTTTCTGGTGTCCCTGTCGCCAGCTTATAGTATGTGTAAGTTTAGGTATTGTGATTGTCAGTTTATTCTGCTCTTTTTCAAATTATTTAATAGGATTTACCATTCTCACACCAACATCATACTTAACTAATTTGTCATCTCCACTCCAATAGTATATGAAGGGGTGTCCCAAAGAGAATAAATGCATAAATAATCAAGAAACATTGGATTTTCACAGAACTATGAACTCTAATGGATGCATTAATTCAACTAAAAACGGGCAGATCAAATAAAAAATATTTAGCAGTAGTGATGAGCTAAAGAGCCCAGGTTCAATGTGTGGGCCATTCATTGAACTCATCATAAATTCCATAAATTTTAGAGACAGCAGCCAGAAATTTTGTACAGACTTGCTGCAAATTATGTAAACAGTTTTACTAGGCTGCAAATAGAGTGGGAGAAACAAGGCAAGTTTTATTGTGCAATACAATTTAGAGTGTATTATTTCTGACACTAAAGCCAAAAAATGTTGTACCGTCTCCATGCACACTGACAGCCATGTGCTTCTTTAATTTTGTTCTGTGGGCTCAGGGCTTTAATGTAAAAGTGATCTTGGTGGCTGCAGAGTCGCCCAGTTACTTTTACATGGCTCACAGGTGTCATATCCCCTCTAGTTCCCAGACTCTGCCACTATTTCTGGGAGTCCAGGACCACAACAAACAGTGTCAGGATGGTGAGCAGGGGGACATCAAGGAACAATTATTCCCTAATATCCTATGTACAGTGAAAACCCAGACGTGCTCAACTACAAACATTTTTGGGTTCAGAGTCATTGAATTCCTGGTTGAGGAGCAGTCCTATGCTTGTTTGGCTGGAGCAGAGGAGACATTAGGAGTCTAATAGACCCTTAAGTCGCCATAAAAAACGCCTGTCCTAGTGCTATCACATTTGGGGCTTATTAGTCCTGGGGGCTTAAAAGCACCCCTTCATACACACATGAATGCAAATGCGCATGAAGGGCATACACATCTATGTAGACAACAATTTTATAGCCTATATTAGGTATCACCATGCAGTCAAGAGTGAGAGAAATAATTCTAAGTTCCTTATTTACAGTTGACTCTAAATTGAGGAGTGGCAATGGCTTTTTAATTGTCACCTATTGATTATTTTAGTTATCGTAATTTTTGCTATTTCATGGGCACAGTTTTGAGGCTTGTTATTTTTGGTATCTATTTACTTAACACAATATCATCTTTTATTTTGCACAAAAAATTTACATTGAGGACAAAATCTTTTTGTTTACGTGCACTAAAATTTATTTTACTGTATTTTTTCCTGAAGGTTTAGCTTTGATAAATTGTTGTACAAATATTGTGCAACATAAAAAATTAAAACTTTACATTTTACAGTCTCTGCTTTCAAAAAATATAAACTTGATTGGGGTTTTTTTTGTAATTTAGCCAAAAATGCAGTTTTGCATTTACAAAAATTGCTCTGGAGGCGAAGTGGTTAAACAATATAATATAGGCTGCATTTTCAAAACGTCACACTGCATGAGTTTTTTAAGCCCCAAAGTCCACATTTAGAAGTACAGGTATTCCTCACTTAACGACCGAGTTCCGTTCCTACGACCAGGTCGTTAAACGGATTGGTCGTTAAGCGAGGAACTCTATACAGTACTGTACTGCATTAGTACAGTACTGTATTGCGTGGTCGATGTACAGTACCGAACAGTGTACTGTACATCGGGCAATGAAAATACTTACCGGGACCCGCAGTGAAGATCGGAGGACACCACTTCCGCGGCGACACGGCGCACTGATGCTGACGCACAAGGTCGGAGGTCGATCAGCGGTCCGTCGTAAGTGCGAGTGGTCGCAAAACAGGTAAGTCGGTAAGCGAGGAACATCTGTATATATTTCACAGATAAAAAGGAAGAAATATAGTACCCACCCCGTAGACAGTATTTAAGCACTTTTAGTAGGCTGCATTTTAATGAGGGAAGACAGCAGACCTTTAATCCTTAAATAACATTACAGTGTATTTATTTCACAGAAAAAAACACCAACATATTGTAGGGAGTCTGTGCGCAGAATTTAAGCACAAGTACTATTTTGAAAAGGAGACGCAACTATCTTTCAATCCAAAAATTTAAAATTTATCAAGTGATAAAACAAAGTCTGCAAAATATTGTGCTGTCTCCATACAGATTATTTAAGCACTTTTATTAGGGCACTTTTTCACAGGGAGAAACTAGGAAGATTATAAAGAAGACATCAACATTAGAGTGAATTATTTTACAGAAAAAAATGCCAGCAAAATATTGTACTGACTGCATACACAGTATTTAAGCACTTTTGGTAAGCCACATTTTGAACAGGATGGAAAACAGTCAGCTTTCAATACAAAATCCAAATTTAGAGTGTATTTATTTCATAGAAAAAGAAGACTTCTTTGTGAGAGCTATACTATGAATTATGGACAGGGAATACATCATTATTGAAAGATATAATAAAATGTATAACTAAAGAGACAGTAGATGTTTAAAATGGGGCTCGTCATCTTCTGATTTAAATCATATGCTGTATGAGAGATGTAAGATTAGGAAAGTTTGGAATAAATTAGTGGAGTGGCTTGAAAAACTAACTCAGCAATGAGGTATACTCCTCTTTGAGAAAAGAGTGTTTTCGGACCTAATAAAAGGATCTGACAAGGAGTTAATAATAATTTTGTTCCTTGTGGCCTTGAAAATGATTCTAAGTAGGTGGTTGAAAAGGGGTTCTCCTGGGGATGGCTGTACAGAGACATGTGTACCACTAATTTATATTGGAGTTCTATGAATATATGTGTGTGAGACATTGATTGTGCATTTAGAAAGCTTATTAAGTTATTAAGCTTTGTAAGTTTTCTTTTTTTTTTGGAAGTGCTTTTTTGTAAGGTTTTTCTACTTCCAATAAAGACAAAAAAGAGTGTATTTTGTCATCGTCATTAACTCACAATTAGAGTTAGAATACACTATAACGGCAGGCCATTCACCCCACTTCGGCTGTCACTTCAGTTGCTCGGCCGCCTTTGGCTGCTGTACGGGCTATTGTTAATAGCCCATATAGCAGCCCTTTGTTTCGACTGAACTGAAGGGCTCTGGCGGCCGAAGAGAGCCGAAGGATCAGCCGAAGCTACGACTTGGCTCAATAATGAATAACCCCCTTTGAGGTCCAATGCAGGATTTACCCTGCAGAAAAGAAGTCAAATTTTGCAGCTGTGGTCCAGTTGTGGAAAAAAAATATGTGTGGCAATTTTGCAGTGCTGGGACACAGGAATAGGGTAGAAGAAGCACCATGAGATGGTAATGGTGGCAGGCCAGAAGCAGTGGCAGGAGATGGTAATAGTTTCAGGCCAGCAGCGGTGGAAAGATCTAGTAATGGTGGCATGACCCAGTAATGGAAGCAGATCAGCGGTGGTGGCAGGAGATAGTGATGGTGGCAGGCCAACAGTGGTAAAAGATGCTGGTAATGGTGGCAGTCCAACAGCGGTGGAAGGAGCTGGCAATGACAGTAGAAGGCGTACTGGGCAAGCTTCCAGTCCAACCTGGACACCCAAAGGTCCTCAGTTCGAAGGTTGTCTGCTTCTGCCCTGGACCACAGGTGATCTGAGATCATATGGTTTGGGTGCTGCCTGTGTCTGGTGCCAGCAACCAGGACAGTCCAAAGCATATTAAATAATGACTTTAAAGCATCGCTAAGACAGCCACTTCTGCTCCTCCTTTTAGAGACTTTAGGATCCAAGCCATGTTGCCTAGCAAAGGGGATCCTGCCACTCTCTGGAAAGACAGCCAAGAGGTTCTTCCACAGCACCTGCCTAAAGTAGCACAGTTATTTCTCCCTTTAGGATGGCAGCGCTTTGGTCCCTCTCTTTAATGGCCCAAATTCACCACAAATTTCCTGCAACGGGGACCCTGAATTCTTGTTGAGGTCAATGATTTCATACCATCCCCGTACTCCCAAGGTTTGGAAGGGGTAAAAAAGAAGTCCTGACTGACTCATGTCCTTTTCACAGCTAGCACAACCATTCTCTTCCTCCTTGTTCTCCTCCTCTACCCGCTGTTGCATCACAGGGATGGTGTCAGCTATGAAAGTATCCCATAGGCTTTAAGAGAACTGGAAGTCCTCTTCTACCTTCTGCTGCTGTGTCTTCAGCGCCCAGTCTATTACACCATGCAATGTGTGCTCCAGCAGGAACACCAGAGGGATTGTGTCACTGGCTCTCTTCCCCAGCTTGAAAAAGAGGGAAAACCCCTCTAATCATGTTGCCATTGAGCCCCTCTGCCACTGAGTCCCTTCACATCATCGTACGGTGTCCTTCCAGTGAAGATGGAACCGCTGGGCTATGTCATCGTCAATACTTTCTACACAGAGGTTTTCACAGTAGTGGTGACTCCTCTGACTGCTACAAGCCGCTGCAGCAGCACCTGTCAGCTGATCCTCAATGAGTCTTGAGTATCTTACTATCTACCCTTAGTGACAGCTCCATTAACCATTAACTGCTGTGAGTGCAATACGTTTACTATGTTGTGTTTATAAAGCTGTGTTAATTTTGTGCTCTGGTCGTTTTTTATTGTTACTCTATTGTTAGCTAAATTGCTCCCCCCACATGCACATTCACGGGTGTATCTCCAGAAGATGCCTGTTCCCTACTTATGTTATTATGAATATTGGAGTCTACTCTGTATGACAAGAGCACAATTTTTTAAGGCGTTACCCCTTTCTCTCCTTGTGATTGCATTTTACTATTTTATTCCAAGATTCTTTTACACACACTTTTCATGCACATGAGCTTTGTATTGAAAAATCCCTTGTTTCCTCATGCATGGGAAAATCAAATGATTAGCATATTTACCAAACTTGATACACTTCAGGTAGAGGCTGTAAGCCGTTATGGTAATGCCAACAGTAGATGTGTTAAAAAAGCCAAGACTGCTGAGCTATGTGGAGTGGCCCTGGGGAATAACAGTGGCCTGCAGCCATGGTGCATTGCCATCTGGTAATATAGGATGGTGTTCCCTCCGCTCTTCTGCAAGCTGCCCCTACTCCTGGATTACATCCTACCTCAGAGATGGTGTGTCTTTCTCACAATTTCCTCCTGTACAATCTTTGAAATCCAGGCACGGTCTGCCTCCTTATTAGCCTCACCCTCCTCATTCCTCAAGCCCCTTTGGCAGCAAACTACAACTGCAGGAACATCAATGACAATTTCTGCTCCCTGCCTGTTGTACCATTCCTCCATGTTCCATATGCTGTCTTCCTCCATTTTCAATAAGAATTCTTGAGCATTCTCCTGCATCATGGTACTCACGCTGTGCTGAAATAATTTAGCCGACTCCTGCATGGCGGTTAGTCGGGCAGCTGAGGAATTCGTTGTAGAGGAGGAAGAAGAGGGCCCATTAGCAGCTGCTAATAAAAATGCACTGCTCTGTGTCTAGAAGGTGGATGAGGAAGGTTTGGTTATCCATTCCCTGACCTACTCCATGTGCTCTTGCTGTAAGAAAAGAGAAGGCAGATATACCATGCCTCCCAATGGTGCCACCTGACCACAGTTTTGTCTGCTGATGCAAAGCCTATTCCTCATCCCCCCTTACTAGCTGCTAAGAACCTCTGCAGCTCTCATACAGTACTTTTGTGTAATAGTCCTTTAAAGTAAGTATGTAAGTGTTTTTTTTCTTAAATCTTAGCCAATAGGAATCTAGCAATGCATTCCAATTGTCAAAAACATATTTTTTTCTATTCTGACATGGCTCCGTGTAAGAATAAAGAAAAAAAAGACAAATCAGTGTTTCTCTCCTGGGCGGCCGCGAGCGGGAGACTCCCGGAGCGCCCGGGAGAGTTTTTTTTTTAAAGGCAGCAGAACCGCCGGCCAAATATGTTCGGCCCGACCCGAAGCCACATGAAGCCACCCAATGTACGGCTGATTTCAGCCGATATACGGCTGAAATCAGCCGTACCAGCCTGAAGTGAATAGCCGAACAGCGTTCGGCTCACTTCAGGTCGGTCTTTCACTCGGCTGCCTACGGCAGCTTAGTGAATTGACCCCATAGTTAGATTGCTGCATACTTGCACCAAAAAGGTTTCTTTTACTGTCAGCTTCATTGCGTTTTTATGATGTGCTGTGAGATGTTGATACATATAATATTTGGCCTGGGCTGGCATTTGACCACATTGATAGATGCCAGGAAAGTTGTAGCATGAAAATGGGGGAAACAGGATAGAAAAACAGAACTGGATCAGAGCCTTACATATAAGATCAAGAGACACCAATGTGCCCTAAACCTTTTAAATATTCTACTTCAATATTTTTAACGCAGGTAAAAAAGAGCCACTACAGTTCATTGTTTTTTCAGTACAGTATTGTGTGTGTGTCTTAGTAAAGTTTGGCTAAATGTATGAATGTAGACTTTACAATTGTGTAAACAGACCCAAAACGTGGTCACACATAAGATGATAGGGTTGCATGCCCATGCTCACACAGGAGATATGATACAATTTGTAAGATCTGGACATTCAGCACTTATTCCAAAGTTACAGATTGTATGTGAAGCAATGGAAACATTGTCATGATGACTACACATCACTTACATGCCACCAGATTTTTTATATAGCTAATTGGAGTGAGTCACTCCACTGGAAGTGCCAGCATCTACTGTAAACTGTTGTTTGGATATGTTCAATGATACAAAAATATCATAATGTTTTTTTTATTTATAATGATGGGATGTTCCTTGAATGTGTTAATTTTTACATTTTTAATGAATATTTAATAAAATTATTAAACAAATTGATACTTCTTTAAATCATATTGTGATAAAAAAAACTAGACGATATTCTGTTTAGGAAAGAAGGGATATTTATTGTACAGTCTTTATGGTGGATGTATGCTGAAAAAAGTTAACAATAACAATATCTTGTGAATTAAATGACACATTTATACTTTAACATGAACAGCCTTTCTTATAGCTGTTTTTCTTTCCAAAGCTCCAACAACTGCTCCAGAGAATCTGTATGTGGAATCATTAAATGGCAAAAGTACAGCTGTGACTGCCACATGGGATGAACTCATTGACTCAGCTGGCAAGATAAAAGGTAAATTCTGCAAAACATAATATTATCTATGTTGGGTTCTCTTAAAGGTAAGCTTTTAGCCTTCCTTATTATACCAACTATAATAGTAATCAAATGTGAAGGAGGTTCCAGTAATCAGTGTGGGAACGAAAATCACAAAGTTATGAATATGTATGTGACCCAAACAATCCCTGAGGTCCTTGTTCAGAGGTATGGTTTTGGGAAGTTATAAATATTTGGGGCACCAGAGTGTTTTTTCCACTCCTGAGCTTCTGCCTGGAGAGGATGTGTGTTAAGAGTGTCTCTGCACTTGGACAGCGCCTCAGACTGGGGCATGTACTGTAGGCCCAGGGACATAAGCTACCTGCTGGAGTGGATATCTGGAGATAGCTGGGCTTGCAAAGACTCTTCTTGCTGAGAAGTGTTGCAGAGAAGCTAAGTAGAAACTACTTCTGGACTCTATAAGAAGGATTCCTTGTCCAACAATGTATCTTTGACTGATATGAAAAGGGTCAAGAGCCAGATTTTTTAGAGAGAGATCCACTGCAACTCAAGAAAGACTGTGACTGTTACAGGGTCATTGATCTATGGGATTAATTTACTAACATTAAATAGACTGTTCACTTCACAAGGGAATTTGCGCTTTGCAGGGAAAGTTTCGCTCAGCTTAGTGAATAAGGTGAAATGGAAAGTGAACAGTCTATTTGCCTTTAGTAAATTAACCGCTATGTGTCTGCTCACACAGGACCAGCAAATTACCTAGATGCTGCACGTAAAGGGACTACTGCTACATCATAGTATCTGTCTTATTTTTGTGCTATTTTGGGGTATTCTGCACCCCTAAATCCTTTCTCCTAGAGTTCTGCAATAAAAGGAAAAAAAGACTAGAGTGAATGCCACCAAGCTTATTTTTTTAACCCTACTTAGCCTGCTTCACTACGTAGGTGGTCATTCCACTTCACCCCTTAATACCTAACCCTTTAAGAATAAAAGCACAAAGTATGTAGGAAAAATGACAGACCTCTGTCACACCCCCAGTTACACAGTGAAGAATTACTCAAAAAAATAATTGGTTAAACTAGCAAGAACTTGTTTTTCACCTTTACATTTAGCTTATACAGGCTTTTCAAAATAACAAATTGAATAAATTAGAGGTTAAATGAGGTGAACTAGTGTTGTAAAACACTTTTAAATAGTACATTTCATATTGAAGTCGATTCTTGAGACCAAAAAGGACAGCTGAATGAAAAAGAGAGACAGAGAAATTTAGTTCCAAAAGAGGAACAGTCCCTCCAAATGATGGACAGTTGGGAGGTATGACTACATCAGCAGAGACGCTCAGGTATATCTGCAGCTGATGCCTGCTCTCAGTCAGAAGTGCTGAAATGCATTTATTGTAATTTAACCTTTGCCTGATTAAAAATGTTTGTGGTTTGTCTGGCTGCTTTGTGCTTTGGATTGATTTTGTTTATGACTTGGAGTACTCACAGATTCTGTTTGCTGCCTTCCTGACCTGCTGACTGTTTTTAGACCCCTTTTCAATTCACCTGCTTTCACCTCCAGTTTATCAGACCTCGTTTTTCTCTCACTTGTTGTACCATGCCTAGCAATGCTTGCAGATGGCTTTTACCCTTCAGTGACAGACAGGGTCCACTGTACCCCTTAACAATAAATGTATGATTTGCTAATGTAGTCCAGCAGGTCTATTTACACACTTAGTTTGCTTGTTAGCTGGCTGTAATACTTCCTTTCCTGCTTCTTTTGTGTATGCAGGGATTATTGGCATAGAAGGACTAATTGGCCAGTTGGACAATTTATTAAGCAGATCCAAGACAGAAATCTATTTTATGGGCTCCACAAAGCAAAATGACCCCGTCTAGGTCCATTAGGTGCATAACCATGCAGTTGAAATTTAAATATGACATATATGTGGACAGGGGGTGATAGATAATAATAAAGTGTTTAATAAGAGTTTTAGTAAATAAAAGCATAGGCCAATGTAATACAATTTAGTATGAAAGGGGGCCGGTATTGGCAAAAATAATTATTTTCATGTGATTACAAGATCTTACACCCCTCGGGGTGTTGGATGTATACACAAGGGAGTGGTTACTAGATGTTGGGAACAGGTAAAGAGTTGAATACGGAAAACTTTGTTCTATTAAAAAGACTAGTCTGCCCTGAAATGTACAATAGCCATAAATAGACAGCGTAATGAGATGAAAAAGAGAGCTAAATCTTTTTCACAACCCCTGCAAATGGTACCTTATATCAGTTTGCCTGCTTATGTGCAGATTATACAGTTCTTGCTGTTAGTGATTCAAAGGATATAATATCTTATTATAAAACATTTAGAGTATATTTAGTAGATGTATGCTTGTCTAGGAGAAACATTCCTTGAAAAAATAGTTTGCAAACATCTGTCCATTTCCATGATACTGGATTCAACATTTGCTGGATTTATTGTTATTTGCCTATCTGGGTATCTTATAAGGATAGCTTGGATAGCTAAAAAACTGTTATCGGTGCATCCCTAATTAAAATACTCTAGAGGACTGAAATTGAAGTCTAGCCAAATAAATGATCAGTAGTATTCAACTATTTTAATTTCTATCACACAACAAAAATTGTAAAATAAGAAAAAAAGTGCATACCATGGGATGAAGCCTGGATTCCTATAAATTAAATTTGAAGTTTAAGATGTTGACTGTGCTTTTATTGTATGTGTTCTTATTTGATAAACTTTTCTCTCAATTTTCTCTTGATTAACTGCATGCTAAAGTGTGTGAAAATGAGCAATACCATAACACAGATTTACATTAATTAAAAAAAAAAACCCATCCCCTCTGAACTTCTCTTTAGAGGTTGTGAGAAAGTGTGCTATTTCTGTATACTAAAGATGCAGAGGGGAATTTATAAAAACTGGAGCAGACAGAATCTGGAGCAGTTGCCTATGGCAACCTATTACCATCCGACTTTCATATTCAAACCTTAACTGAACAAACTGAAGAGAGAAGCTGAGGCAACTGCTCCAGATTTTTCTAGTCCAGTTTTGATAAATCCCGCTGTGTTTTCTAAGCATATAGAGATAGGTAGCAGGTAACATTACTTCTCATGATCTTTGTGATTGACAATGGAAATACAAAGGACAGGTGCTTGCTAACACATGGATAAATGCAGCAAAATATTTGAAATAATTTACATTTTTGCAATATTTTTATTGGATTGAACATCACCCTCAGGCATTGGGTCAGTCACATTTAATCATCATACATTCTTGACTGAAATTTTTAAGATATATACAAGCATTAATATCATAAGGAATCCCAAAAGTATGAATTGCAGTAGAATGTAATAAAGTATTACCAGGGCAGAGATTATTATACTAGCGCCATCAGAGATTTTTTTTATCATTCTTTTCTCTTTGCAAATTTATTTTCCTTTTTTTCAATTATGGTTTTACTTCCTACATTCCTTTTTATTTGAGTCTTTCTCGACACCTGTTCCTGTGTAAAAAAACATGAAACTCTTGTTATCGTATATTTAAAGGGCCAGTTCACTTCAAATGTATATTTCCGTTTTGGTAGATGTTCGAGAGTTAAACAACCTAAAAATCATATTTATCTCTCGGGGATTGTATTGGTGCGTGTGAGTTTCCAGGTCTGCGTGCCTGCTTTGTACTCCTACTGTATATATTTTGTATCAAGGAGAATGTTACAGAATATGTCGGAACATCCAAAACTCCCAGGTGGATTAAAACAGATTTGGAATTATGGCAGGCAGATCTCTTGTATTCAAGCCACAAGAAGTCATGAAATGATTTAGGGGGTTATTCACTAAGCTGCCGAAGGATCTAGCCATAGCTTCGGCTGATCCTTCGGCTAGCTTCGGCCCCAGGACCCCTTCGGTTCAGGGCTGCTGTATGGGCTATTCACTATAGCCTGTACAGCTCACAAAGTTGGCCGAGGGGCTCAGTGGAGTCGAAGGCATATGCTTCGGCTCGACTGAGCCTAGGTGAAATTTGAAGCTGGCCGAACGGCCGGCCATTGGCCGGCCGACAGCCTGCTACTGATGGCTGGGCGGGGCCAGACGTCATCTCACAGCTGGCTCCGGCCACTTGCAGAGACAGATCAGCGCCCCTGGTTACCAGGTAACCAAGGACACCGTTCTGTCATTACACTGAGAACCCAGATAATCTCTCTGCGGTCTGGGATGTGTGCAATGAGAGTCAGCTCCGGATTACACGGCCAGTTTTTCACCAGCACTTCTGCAAAACACACATACATGGATTAATGTTTTCCTCAGATCATTTTCTTTACTCAATATCCAGCACATGTGCATAATGTTTTTTATTATAGTCTTGATAACTTACTTTTTAGTGGTAAAGGGCAGCCGACAGAATGAAGGCATCGAACAACGATATATGGATGAAATCAGCCGTACAAGCCTGAAGTGAATAGCCGAACAGCGCTCGACTCACTTCACTTCGGGTCAGTTATTCACTCGGCTGCATACAGCAGCTTTGTGAAAAACCCCCTTAGTCTAATGAGTTCTACCTATAACTAAAATAAATGGGGGGGATGAGCTATTTAACAGTAGCCTACTGTAATCCTGTAGAGAAGGAAAACTGAGTGACATATCAGCCAATGTTTGGTAGTTTAAGGGAAATATAGTGGACGTGAACACATATTCTGAGTTATTCTTGCAGTGTTTGCCTTAAAGCAAACCTGGAATTTGACCATGCAGAGCAAAAGCAACATGCTTGCTTTAATGCCTGGTTCTTCAGCACCACACTGGGAGTGTAAATTATCATTAAAATGCTGTGTTATATACTTAAAAATCTTACCTTACAGCAAGCCAGCTCCTACACACTCAAGGCACTGTGGGGAGGCATGCGAGTCAAGTGAAGTGCTCTAGTCGCATCCCAGTCCCTCCTTGCTGCTTACCTATTCACAAAATTCCTTGAGGTGATGTTTTTAATACTAGAGCAGACGTAATCTGGAAAAGTTGCCCTTGACAACCAATTAGCTTCGTTTTTTTATTTTCTAAAATTAACTGAACAAAAGATAAGCTGATTGGTTACTATGGACAACTGCTCCAGATTCTGACTGCTCCAGTTTTGACAAATTTCTCTTTTCTCAAATAAAACACCAGGGGTTATTTACTAAGCTGCCGAAGACAGCAGAGTGATTAACCGAGCCGAAGTGAAGTGAGCCGAACGCCGTTCGGCCATTCACTTCGGCCCTGTGTGGCTGATTTAATCCGTATATCGAATAAAAACATCCATACATCGGCTGGCTTCAGTGCCGAAGTGGAGAAGTCATTCGACTCAGCTGATCCAACATCTGGGGCAGAAGGGCAGTTAGTGAATAGCTACCTCCGAGGTAGCAAGCAGAATAAAAAAAATGTAAACAAAAGAAAAACAAAAATACATTTTCTAAAAAAAAAATGTAAAAAGAAAAATTATACAAATTTTGAAAAAATAATAAAAATAAGTAAAATAAACAAAAATAAAAAAACAGCGTGGGGTCCCCCTTCTCAAACCATACCAGACCATCTATGTTAGGAGGAACTCCATTTTAAAAATAAATGCGTGGGGTTCCCCCCCAAAGCCATATAAGGCCCTTTAGGTCTGGTAGGAATTATAAGCAGGAACCCCAACCCCAAAAATGGGGGGGGGGGAACGTGGGGCCCCCCCTAAAATTCCTAACCAGACCCTTAATCCGAGCACAGGCCTGGCAGGGCAGGAAAGGGGGGAGGGGGGGCAAGAGAGCGGTGTAAGAAAGAAACTGATGTAAAGTACATCATGTATGTATAAATAAAATTCTTTTTTTTTTCTCATGAATGATGCTACAGAATAATGTGATAATTGCTGTTTTTCAACCCGTCACAGAATACATCATTTCATATGCTCCTGCGATGAAGCCATTTGGAGGCAAATCTGTTACATACTCAGGAACTACTACATCAGCCATAATTGATGGCCTACAGCCTGGGGAACGGTACATTTTCAAAATCAGGGGAGCTAACAGGAGAGGGCAGGGCCCTCAGTCTAAAGCCTATACAGTCATTATGCCAGATGGTAAGCATGCATATTTAATGGATTTACGCATCTGTTTTTGCTGTTACTTCATGCTTTTTATTGGTTTCTTCTGCTTCTTTACATGTTCTGCATGACCATGTCTTGTAAACACAGTGTTTATTTTATAGCTTATAAAATGAGAATCTAATAGCTCCTGTTTAATGTTAATTTTATAGCTAATTACATAAATTTACATGCTATTAAAAATCTCTTTCAGCAGTATTAGGATAGAAGCTGTTGGTATGTTAAGGGAGCATTTATGCTGAGTATTTTTACTGTGCTGTTGACACTTAAAACTGCATCAAAAGTACAAGACTAGCTATATCTTTTATTTTCAATGTTACCGTTCAATGTTAAATCTTTGAGGTGCAGTGCAATTTATGAAAATACTTTGTGCGGCAGGTTTCTTGCAATTTTGGCAAATATGTAGGTTAGGAGACCAGTTTAATCCAACCTGAAAAAGTCAAAGGCCTATAAGTATGCTATATTCATTTGATACAGTAGATTAGTATAACACAATTTCTGTCCATTGTCTTGAAAGTTTGTATGTTGTCATTTATGCTTACTGCTTTTTTGGTTTTTTTTTGCTTTTGCCTGTTCATTTAACTACCTTTCTGTACATTTTGGTTTGACATGCTATTCATTCTCTGTAAGTTGTCCTTAAAAGGACTCTGTCAGGTTAATAAATATACAGATGAAAGGGCCCCACAAGAGAAGAGGTAGTATATTCACTAGGGATCCACCGATACCGTTTTTTCGGTATCGAGTACCAATATTTTTTTTCAGTACTTGCCAATACTGAATGCCGATACTGAAAGTCCCATTAAAGAAGCCGGGTGGCATGTAGTGACTCACCACCCGGCTTCCCAATTAGCCAGGAAGCCGTCTCCGTGCTCCCTTGTCACCAGGTGACGAGGAAGCATGGAGCCTGGTTTCCAGCCAATCAGGAAGCTGGGGGGGGGTGGGGGGGGCAGGTAATTACTCGCCATCTGGCTTCCTAATTGG